AAAATAAATAAATAAATAAATAAATAAATAAATAAATCTTTTTTAAAAATAGCCAGAAAAAAAAATGTATTAAGTACAGAGTTACAAAGATAAAAATATCCTCAGACTTGATGACTTGCTTTCTCACTTTCCCTCTTTCTCTCTCACTCTGTCCCCCCTAGTCCAATTAAAATAAATAAATACATAAATAAAATAAATAAAGTTCAATAAAATAATTCTTTTTAAAAAAGAAAAAGATATCAACAATAATTACAAATAAATATAAGTACATTCCTGTGGCTGATATCTTCAAACTAAGAAATTCTGAAAGATATTCACTGTGTCCTATTTTGAAAACAACATTATATTGATTAAGAAAAATGACACATGTATTAGTTGTGTTTTTAACTAGTGACCTTAAGTAAATCCACTAGCTTTGCTAAATCTTTCATTTATACAGTGATTCTTAGGTCCTTTCTGCTCTAAAATTCTGTCCATGGCAATTAAACCACCAGAAAAATATGAAATTCACAAGTCTACCACTAGAGGGCATAAAACTATGGTTGCTGACCTGAAAATCAGACTAAAATTTCTTATACATAGATTAATCTTCCCAAGATAACCACACCTACCAGTAAAAACGAAATCAATTTAAACTAAACCTCAATAACTTGTATGCTGGCAAAGAATTTTAGGCTATTGCCTGAACACTGATATTCTGTATGATGTAAAGTAACAGACATCTTTCTTGACTTGTTAAAGTTATCTTAAACCAGAGAGGGTCGTCTGACTTCTGAGCGGTTACTCTATATTCCCAAGCGACAAAAGAGAGAATTAAAAATGGGTGATGTTGAGAAAGGAAAGATTTTTGTTCAGAAGTGTGCCCAGTGCCACACCGTGGAAAAGGGAGGCAAGCACAAGACTGGCCCAAATCTCCATGGTCTATTTGGGCAGAAGACAGGTCAGGCCCCTGGATTCTCTTACACAGATGCCAACAAGAGCAAAGTCATTACCTGGGGAGAAGATACACTGATGGAGGATTTGGAGAATCCCAAGAAGCACATCCCTGGAACAAAAATGATCTTCGCTGGCATTAAAAAGAAGTCAGAAAGAGCAGAGTTGATAGCTTATCTTAAAAAAGCTACTAATGAGTAACAGGTGGCCACTGCCTTATTTATGATAAAACAGAAATGTCTCACCCTTTTTATGTGTACCATATTTTAATTGATCTCCTACACCAGAACTCAGATCAGGAATGGCTGACAGGTTACTTTTGTTGGACAATCCTGATTTAAATAAGACTGGCTTGTGATTAAATTAATATTGTTTTTGTTTCTGTTTTTTTAATGTTGATAGTAATTTCAGTTCAGTAAGTGCTATCACTATTTTTGCCCTTTCTAAAGATATATTTAGTAATTCATTAGTGATGCTCATATTTCTACAAAGATGGTGAATGCCATCTCAAAGCCTACTGGAGATTAGTTTTATTTAGGC